TTTTACTTGAGTTAAAAACCACCAGGAACTCCAAAGTAAACATCAACTAAGGTAAACAAACATCAGTTTACACCTGATAAAATATTAACGTTTTACTTGAGTTAAAAACCACCAGGAACTCCAAAGTAAACATCAACTAAGGTAAACAAACATCAGTTTACACCTGATAAAATATTAACGTTTTACTTGAGTTAAAAACCACCAGGAACTCCAAAGTAAACATCAACAAAGGTAAACAAACATCACTTTACACCTGATAAAATATTAACGTTTTACTTGAGTTAAAAACCACCAGGAACTCCAAAGTAAACATCAACAAAGGTAAACAAACATCACTTTACACCTGATAAAATATTAACGTTTTACTTGAGTTAAAAATCACCAGAAACTTACAAAAATTATTTGAACAAACAAAATATGGCCAACAAGTATTTATTTTGTTAACTAAACACTTCTTTTGACTCAAAAATCATGGCCAGAAGATAAAGTCAAGAAGATGGCTCACTATTGCTTATCATGTTATAAGATCATCAAACTATCTGTGAAAGAAGTTAGCTCAGAGTGATTATGTGTTTGTTAGTTTTATTATACTGAGAAAAGTTTACGTTTGTCTGACTCTCTTTATACATACATTGGTTAATTTCTTCTTCTCTCGCTTCTCGTGAGAAGTTTTTCATCAGCAGAAAAGGTACAGCATACCCAGCAGAGGGCTGCACTCATAAACTTTAAAAAGTCATTTGTACAAATTTCGGATCCATTTCTGTAACTTTGGTTGCTTCTCTGGGTTTGTAATGTATTATACAGGCACAAGGGCACGGACCTGTCCAAATGTTTCTCATGTTTTACACGGTGGCATGGACCTATTCAAATATTTGTAATGCTTTAAACTGGGGCCCGAATCTGTTAAAATGTGTGAACCACTTTAGAATTTCTATCTAGTTACTTGAATATTGTCTAAATCAATTTCAAACACAATTTCAGATTTGGCTGTCTGTCTACAAAAAACTAAAACTAATCCCCATACAGACCATGGTAACACCTCACAATGATAGGTATTAATGCCCATACAGACCATGGTAACACCTCACCATGAAGTGCTACATGTCAATCCCCATACAGACAATGGTAACACCTCACAGTGATAGGTGTCAATCCCCATACAGACAATGGTAACACCTCACAGTGATAGGTGTCAATCCCCATATAGACGATGGTAACACCTCACAGTGATAGGTGTCAATCCCCATACAGACGATGGTAACACCTCACAGTGATAGGTGTCAATCTCCATATAGACGATGGTAACACCTCACAGTGATAGTTGTCAATCTCCATATAGACGATGGTAGCACCTCACAGTGATAGGTGTCAATCCTCATATAAGCAATGGTAACACCTCACAGTTATAGGTGTCAATCTCCATATAGACGACGGTAACACCTCACAGAGATAGGTGTCAATCCCCATACAGACAATGGTAACACCTCACAGTGATAGGTATCAATCCCCATACAGACAGTGGTAACACCTCACAGTGATACGTGTCAATCCCCATACAGACAATGGTAACACCTCACAGTGATACGTGTCAATCCCCATACAGACAGTGGTAACACCTCAGAATGATAGGTGTCAATCCCCATACAGACAATGGTAACTACCCTATAATATACTCAATACTAAATTTATTACTATTGTCCAGGTTTCAGTAAAATATTCATAGCCGTTTTTTCTGTAGTGGCTTGTAAAACTATAATCTATTACAAATATACACACCTTGTTTACTATAATAAAACGTGCGTTTCCGACTAGTATAACGGTGCTAAATGCCTTCTACATTTCTGTAATGCATGAATGGCTTCGAAGAGCTTATGTTCGTAGCAAAGAAGAATTTAGAAAATTTTAGAGTTTGGAAATCTCGACTTTCAAGAATCAACTTTAAAATAGCCCTACAATCTTCGTAGGAGTTTGTTTAGTAGCTGTGCATAGATTTTGGCGCAGTTTACCTAGCAGTGTTTTGCTGTAGGCTTCGGTGCTTGAATGGTTTTGAAGAGAAACTTGGTCAGTAGCGATGAAAAACTGATAAAACTCTCTATCTCTTTCAATAATCAACATAAAAATAGTCCTATGACCTGCGTAGAAGTTTTTTTAGTAAGTTTTCCCAGATTTGAATAAAATATACTTAGCCGTTTTTTTTTCTGTAGGCTTGTGAAACAAAAAGAGTAATAAGAACAAAGGGTGAATTTTAAATTTTGTCTAACAATAGAAATATCAACTTTTTTTTTCTATCAATATTTTAGCAGCCTTAGTCATAGATGGTCATGAGTGTTGTTTCAAGAACAAGTCTACTTTTGAAGATGGTGTTTTTTTTTTTTGTCATATTCCTGGGCGAACACATTATAATTTTTTCATTAATCCAAAAGAGACCGTTAATGATAAATATTAATCTAAGGATATTTGTATATTATTAGCGTAATAAGATATTATTTTCACTATGAAAGGTTAGGAAATATTTCTACAAGTATCATAGAGTGTTTGTTTCAGAATTTCGTGTAACACTAAATAGGATTACTCGTTTGTTTGTATTTCTAAAGTAAGGTCACACTGGGTTATCTGCTATGTCCACCGCTGGGAATCGAGCCCCGTTTTTTAGCTTACTGTTATCCAATCGGGGTACGACTACACAAGAAATTACCTCTCCTAGACGCCTCTAATTTTACACTGCTAGACTAGAAGAAAGACACCTAGTCTGTTTCTTTATTATTAAGCACAAAACTGCTCAACAAGCCCATCACGGGTATCGAAACCCGGATTTTAACGTTACAAGTTTTCAGGTTAACCACTAACCTCAGTGTCTCAGCGGCAAGACTGAGAGCTCACACTGCCAAATCCGGGTTTCGATACTCGTGATGGGCACAGTATAGCTCACTGTGTAGCTTTGCGATTAACAACAAACAAAACCTACCACTTAGCTACTAGAGGGCGCATCAAGTCAACAGCAGCCACCACCAACTCGAACTACTCTCTTCTGACATACTATTTGAATTTGAATGCCTCTCTTATAGCACACCCAAAATGCTCAGCTTGTAATGTATCGTGAATTCCCAAATTCTTTGTTCAGACACGCTTTCCTCTAGGCTACTCTCGGTCCATATCATATTTTAGTATTTGCATGAGGTCCAAACAGTAGTATACGTGTGTCTAAAGTGTCCCAAATTGTTATTAATTAAGTTGCTGGTCCAAACGTTTCAATATTTAACCAATAAAAATTGTATTATAGCCAGTAGTTTGTTAGTTGTTGTTAATTCTGGGTCCTAAAAGTGAAAATACAGTTGACACTCTGAACTAGGTACACAGTGGACACGACAGTGAACGATGACATCACAAGTTCCGAGTTGATAATCTACTCAGCCAGTAGAACGGATTCTGGGATCTACATGTGTCAGGCAAGGAATAACTGGGGCAATGATGACCGAAACCTTCAACTACAGGTGTTAGGTGAGAGCTTTTTGTTGAAAAAATTAATATATAAAGTAGGATATAAATACAGTACTAGTTAGGCTTCGCGGTTTCCAGCTAAACTAAGGTTCAGAGTTTGTAGGATATAAATACAGTACTAGTTAGGCTTCGCGGTTTCCAGCTAAACATAAAGTTCAGAGTTTGTAGGATATAAATACAGTACTAGTTAGGCTTCGCGGTTTCCAGCTAAACGTAAGGTTCAGAGTTTGTAGGATATAAATACAGTACTAGTTAGGCTTCGCGGTTTCCAACTAAACATAAGGTTCAGTGTTTGTAGGATAAACCACATCACTAGTTAGGCTTCGCGATTTCCATCTAAACAAAAGCCTCGGAGTTTTGTAGGATAAAAACACATCACTAGTTACGCTTCCTTCAGTCAACTATTTTTTTTAAAGTTCAAGTACAATTCAAATTTTCAATTTTAAGAACTTAAAGACAATTCATTAATGGTTCCCGTAAAACAAGAACCGGTGACGTTAAAGGTCAAGAACAGGTGGCGTTAAAGGTTAAAGATCAGGAACATATGGTGTTAAAGGAACTGTTAAATCTTCAGATAGGGAAGCAGTTGTTAAACCTAAAGCAAACAAGTAATTATCGTTCGCTGTGTAAAAAAGTTATATTCCATTATTTACTTAATGCTAGTTTCATCAACAGTATTAGTCAAATGTTTGATATATATATGTAAATTTGTCCGTTAATATATGTTTAATTTACTATTATCAGTATACATTTTTTAAACTACGAGGTTTCTTTGCACTATTAGCTTATTATATGAATTTAAGCTACACCTAAATTTCCGAACCCGCCTCATCCTCTTGACATATTATTGGAATTACGGCCGAAAGTGTTGATAACAGCGAGGTATTTGCCTGATGAATCAATGAAGTGTAATTATGATAATTGTTTTTATTAGTTTTGTTTTTAGTTTTGGATAGTAAGAACGATATATGAAATTAGTTATGTAAATTGATTAGTTGATAATTCCCATCTGTAATAAGCCTTAAATAACTTTATTAATTTATAACAAAACAAAAATATTCAAAATCAGTTTATCAAAATAATATAAATGTATGATAATTCAGTAATCGTTCTGGTAGCTTGAACTATGACCATATTTATTTTACTCACATGACGCCTACATATGTGACGTCAACTGAGAAAGTTAAGTTCTTGTATCTAAATGTGACGACCCCCAGTTGCACAGCTGAAAGTATCAGGGCTCCCACCGCTAAAAATCGGGTTTCGATACTCGTGAGGAGCGCAGCACAGATATGTAATTGTGTATCTTTGTGCTTACCAACAAACAAACAACAAGAAAAAACTAAATCTGTTATGATAACAAGTTTGTTTTTTTATTTGTTTGTTTTTGAATTTCGCGCAAAGCTGTAAGACTAGAGGGAAGGCAGCTAGTCATCACCACCCACCGCCAACTCTTGGGCTACTCTTTTACCAACGAATAGTGGGATTGACCGTCACATTATAACGCCCCCACGGCTGAAAGGGCGAGCATGTTTGGTGGGATGCGGATTCGAACCCGCGAGCCTCAGATTGTGAGTCGAGCGCCTTAACCACCTGGCCATGCGGGCCGTTATGATAACAAAACGACGAAATTTTCCACAACTAGTGTGCTGCCATCTAGTGATCAACTGAGTTTCTAGAAGTTGATTTGATGAATGCATATTGGCATAAAATTTGACATAACACAAATACTGTTACTTAGGTCTGACATGCTTATGGAATATCCATTAACATATAAACTGAATATGTTATAGATACAACGTAAATGAATTTATAAGTATTCCTTCTGCATCATTCACGAAAAACTATTTAACACCAGATGGCGTTATAATAGTTGTGACTTTAAATAAAATAATATTTCTAATGATTTACTCTAATATATATAATTATATTGAATTTTCTAGGTATTCCTGATTCACCTCGAAAAATACAAATCAAAAAGGTCGAAGCTCGTAGTGTCACTTTAGCTTGGTCTCAACCATTTGATGGAAATAGAAAACTCGTTAAATATATAGTCCACTACAAACAAGGTAAGCTGTCGTCCATATTAGACGGCTTCAAGCTCCTCTTTAATTCACTATATATATATATATATATATTTGTGTAGAAAAACAAGAAGAGATTATTTTATTGTTTTAGAGTATAACACATGCAAGAGAAACCTTCACAACAAACGTGGGTAATGTCACGTCTCTGGTCGTTTGTTAATTTCCCGTATAATTTCTTTCGGATGAAACTTTAGAGATACAAGTCGTTTCTTAAATAAAACTAGTTTATTCTTTTTCAATACAACTTTGCAATACACTTAATTTCCACAGTCACTTTAACTTCAACACACGCTATAATTCACAACGATTCACGCACTTTACTTACGGCCACTACCGCGCTTGACTCAATTGTCCGTCTCTATCTCTGCCCGTCTGCAATTCAATTCTTTGTGCTGTCACTTCTCGCCGGTCTTATATATACAGAATAGAGGGCGTGTCTGGCAAACACTCGAGCCTGAAATCTTCAATGCGTTACAAACAATTTTATATCTGTCCTTGGGGCTACAGTACACAACAAACTACTTTAGCTCTGTCTTTGGGGCTTCAGTACACTACAAACTATTTAGCTCTGTCCTTGGGGGCTTCAGTACACTACGAACTACTTTAGCTCTGTCTTTGGGGCTTCAGTAAACTACAAACTACTTTAGCTCTGTCTTTGGGGCTTCAGTACACTACAAACTACTTTAGCTCTATCTTTGGGGCTTCAGTACACTACAAACTACTTTAGCTCTGTCCTTGGGGGCTTCAGTACACTACGAACTACTTTAGCTCTGTCTTTGGGGCTTCAGTAAACTACAAACTACTTTAGCTTTGTCCTTGGGGCTTCAGTAAACTACAAACTACTTTATCTCTGTCCTTGGGGGCTTCAGTACATTACAGACAATTTGAACTCTGTTCTTTATTGTTAGATTTACAATACCTAATTTTAACATCACGCTCACTTTCGGAGATATTATGAACACTTAGCGTTAGTTAAGTTGTAATAAATCATATATTTTATTTTCAGAGGGCTTATTTACATTATTTATCTTTAAATGAATAAATTAACACTGTCAGAACTTCAATTCCAATCACGGCAGAAAAGAAATAATCGTATGTGCTTTTTGTAAATTTTAAAAACCATTTTCAAAGTTTCGGTTTCGGGAAAGCCCTCATTGGCTCAGCGGTAAGTCTTAAGGCTTTTCAGGCTAAAATTCGGATTTCGATACCCGAGGTGGACGCAGCACGAAGAACCCATTGTGTAGCTTTGTGCTTAACAACAAGTAAACAAATAAAATGCCCGACATGGCCAGGTGGTTAGGGCCCTCGATTCGCAATCTGAGGGTCGTGGGTTCGAATCCCCGTCCCACCAAACATGCTCGCCCTTTCAGCCGTGGGGACGTTATAATGTTATGGTCAATTCCACTATTTGTTGGTTAAAAAGTAGCCGAAGAGTTGGCAGTGGGTGGTGATGACTAGCTGCCTTCCCTGATTTAGGGACAAATAGCCCTCGTGTAGCTTTGCATGAAATTCAAACCAAACACTTAGGGATAGATAGACAGACAGACAGATGGATTCAGTTCATATTATGTTGAGTTTGGGAAACTCATGTCTCAAGTGTACAGCAGAGGGAAAATATCTGTATAATAAGATTCAGTATCTGTATGTCTATCACGTAACTCCTCCTGAACCGCTTGTCACACCGACTTCTAAGTGGTATCAAACGAATCGTCTCGATCCCGAGGTTTGCACAAAGATCATCTCACCCCTTGGGGAACACGGGGATTTCCCGAAAATCCCTACTCCTAAACTGCTGGACACAGCAACGACTTCTAAAGTTCTACAAAACGAATCGTTCGCAAAAGATAAAACTTTTCACCAAACCACTCAGGGAACCCGGGTATTTCGCGAAAACACTTTTACGGGGATTCCCTGAACGCGGATTCCAAATTTGTCATTGATTTACATTAGATCATGTAAGTAAGTAGACCTATTAATTATCGTTCGTAACTTGGTTAAAGAAATTAAAGTTACATTATACCGGCAATGATCATTAAACTGAAAAAGTGCAAAATAGTAGTTCAAGTATTAAATCTGTATCATAGTAAATGTGGGTAATAGGACCCACGGGTTCAATAATTAACAAAATAAATACCCCAAAAAAGTTCAAAAGTACGTCACATATCGCTTTAGTTTGTTTTGAAGCTACTCGAGGGCTACCCGCACCTAATTTAGCAGTGAAAGACTAGATGGAAGGCAGCTATTCAACACTACCCACCGCCAACTCTTGGGCTACTCTTTTACCAACGAATAATGGGATTGACCATCACAAAATAACGTCCCCGCGGCTGAAAGAGCGCACATGTTCGGTCACGAGGATTCAAATTCGCGATCCTCAGATTGAGAGTCGAGCACCATATCCTTCATGTCATGCGACGGCTTCCTTCCAACTCATGAATCTAATATTCAGTTTTTAGATATCCTTGAAGATGGCTGCCGCTCTGACGTAAACATTAAATTATTACTCATTATATTGCAGATTTAAATATTGGCCGCCAGGTGGATGAACTTATTTTAGAGCCAGACCAAAGAGAAGTTACCATCCGGGATTTGCAGCCAATGGCTCGCTACCACTTCACTTTATTTGCTGAAAATGACCTTGGGCGGAGTCTACCAAGTGACGTCATATCTGTTACGACAGACGGAGAAGGTAAGATCAGCGTCACTTCCACAAGTAAGCGGAATAAAACATAAAGTACTCAGATTTTGTTTCACTTTTTCTCTTTGTAATCAGACAAAGACACATAAAACCTGGATTACAAAGTTTTATAATTTCTCAAGAAAAGACAATTAAAGAATTTTATTAATATGCTTACCTATTAAAAAACAACAATCCTCTTTCTGGCAGCACCTCAAGACCCCCCACAAGACGTCGAGGTCGTGGCAACAACGTCCCACAGCCTACGTGTTTCATGGAAGGTGAAGGATTTATTGTAAATCACGTACAGTTAAGGGTTAAGATAAGCTTGGAAGGGTCAGTAATTTCACACTAGTAACCATGTAAATGTTTTATTCGTGTTTAACACACACACACATTCTTTTGCGCATATGTCATAGATAATGAGCATGGCACATGCACTTCCCGCCCCCTGTCGGAAGAACTTAAATGTTGATTTAATTTATTTAAATGCACTTTATAATCGTAGCCTTCATTTTAAGTTGCATTTTTATTAGTTTTATTGTTTGCTTGTTTGTTTGTAATTAAGCACAAAGCCATACATTAGGTTATCTTTGCAGGCCCACCACGGGTATCGAAACCCAGTTTCCAGCGTTGTAAGTCCGCAGACATACCGCTGTGCTTCTTATAGCAACTATACGAATAACCAACTATCCCTAATTTCTGTTATCATTTTAATTTTTTTCCTATTTATAATAGTGATGTTAAAATCCGTTAATTGATTATGGCAGACAAGAGTTGGTGGTGACATGATTTGTTGAACAATATCAATTACTTCAATACAAGCTTTCCTTCATAGAATTGTTTGCACTACAGAAGAACAATTACCTCAATACTAGCTTTCCTTGATAGAATTCAATACCAGTTTGTATTAACTAGAATTGTTTGTATTACAGAAGAACAATTACTTCAATACTAGCTTTCCTTGATAGAATTGTTTGTTCACCATTACAGAAGAACAATTACTTCAATACTAGCTTTCCTTGATAGAATTGTTTGTATTACAGAAGAACAATTACTTCAATACTAGCTTTCCTTGATAGAATTATTTGCACTACAGAAGAACAATTACTTCAATACAAGCTTTCCTTGATAGAATTGTTATTATTACAGAAGAACAATTACTTCAATACAAGCTTTCCTTGATAGAATTATTTGTATTACAGAAGAACAATTACTTCAATACTAGCTTTCCTTATGAGAGTTTTTTGTGTATAGTGTTATGATTTCTAACTCAAACGTGATTGAAAATGAAGTCATTCTTTAGCTGCGGTAGCTTTGTGGAATTTAGGGTTAAGTCTATTGCTTTAAACCAAATTTCATGTTTGCTATCTCTTTGTGCGTTATCAGCGTTAAAAATTAGAAAACTCATTTATTTCAATAACTCGGTGATTCCAACACCAACTACTTTTTAACTGTGTCTCTTTTACTTGATACTGAATACACTAAGTTTTTACTGTTCTTTTGAGATCGCTGATTAATGACGTATCTTATCTGTCAAAGGCTCCAGCTTTAAGACCCGAAAATACAAGACTTCAGGGTTATTATGTCGGTCATCGAATCTATGGTTCAGACGAGCCCTACATCTACAAGACTGTAAGAAAGGACAGTAATGTGGAGGAGCTGAGTGGACTGCTTCCTGGAAGGACTTATGAAGTTGTGGTTCAACCTTTTAACAGTAAAGGAGCGGGACCTGTTAGCAAGGAGTTTATTGTACAGACGCTTGAATTCGGTAAATTACTTTCTGTTTCATCAATACTCAATTTCCAGAAGTCTTAGTGGTTTCACAGTACAGATGTAGTAGTGCAGAAAGTATTCATCTTTTATTATTTTATTTATGTGTCCTCAGTGTTGCCATTACACAGACTCTGGTGTTTAGTAAGTTGTTTCTGGTGTTGCTATTACACAGACCATGGTGTTTGGTAAGTTGTTTCTGGTGTTGCTATTACACAGACCGTGGTGTTTGGTAAGTTGTTTCTGGTGTTGTCATCATACAGACCCTCGTGTTTGATAAGTTGGGTCTGGTGTTGTCATCACACAGACCCTCGTGTTTGGTAAGTTGTTCTTGGTTTTGTCATCATACAGACCCTGGTGTTTGGTAAGTTGTTTCTGGTTTTGTCATCATACAGACCCTCGTGTTTGGTAAGTTGGGTCTGGTGTTGTCATCATACAGACCCTCGTGTTTGGTAAGTTGTTCTTGGTTTTGTCATCATACAGACCCTCGTGTTTGGTAAGTTGTTCTTGGTTTTGTCATCATACAGACCCTCGTGTTTGGTAAGTTGTTTCTGGTGTTGTCATCATACAGACCCTCGTGTTTGGTAAGTTGTTCTTGGTTTTGTCATCATACAGACCCTCGTGTTTGGTAAGTTGTTCTTGGTTTTGTCATCATACAGACCCTAGTGTTTGGTAAGTTGTTTCTGGTGCTGTCATCATACAGACCCTCGTGTTTGGTAAGTTGGGTCTGGTTTTGATTTTCATTGTTGTTTAGTGTCTATGGTTTGTCGTTGTTACGATATATATATCTTTCATTATGTACAACATATTTTCCTTACTGCTTTTGAATATCCTCGACTTTGGATTTTGGTGATGTGTCAGATTTTGTCATAAAGATGTTCTGGAGTTTGTACGACATTGATAAAACTTCTACTTATTATATTTTGTGTTTGCTTTATTCCTAAAGCTGCAATATTGTATGAGTTTATATTTTAATTTGTATTCTTGTCGAGTTTATAAACATATTATCTCCCCGTCCTTAAGAAAACACTAGAGTCAAAGCTGTTTTGATATAAAAACGTCCTGGTTTAATAATCAATAAGTGTTTCTTACCACACAGATCCACCAAAACCGGTAAGTGTAACCACGTTATCATCTACGTCATCATCCGTTAAGCTTCATTGGACGAGAGCCAGAGGAGATGACCATCCAGTGGAAGGTACGTGGGCCACTTCACGATATTGTTACAGAATATTTTCTTCTCCACAATTGGCCATGTATTATTTACTTCTAACTACGTAAAGCACTTGTTGTACAAAAGTCATTGTTTCAACCAATATTGCTCCAAATTTAGGCTTAGCTGTAGAACAAGTAATATATTTATTCAGCTTTCTGTATTGTCCAGTTTATAAGTATTTCTATTATTGCTATTTTATAAAAACTATCTACTTCCAAATATTAATTTCCTAAGTCAGTTTCCATTTCTAATGCTAAATGCACACAGTTTCCAGCCCCCCCCCCCCCCACCCCAGTGACACAGCAATATATCTCCGGATTTAAAACGCTAAAAAATCGCGTTTCGATACCCGTGGTGGGCAAGCACAGATAGACCATTATGTAGCTTTGTGCTTAATTACAAACAAACAATCACATTTTCTATAATCTGTACATAATCAAACCTTTAATTCTGGGTAGTTGGTTTTATTTTAAAAACACATGATTCTAATCAGACTACTGCTTAATATTAAATGTCGCCATAACTTAAACTTTAATATTTCAAAGACTATTTTTCCCACTGTTTGTTATACAGGTTTAACCTGACAGTTAGATATCTGACAATATTTATACGAGACTGTTTTTCCCACTGTTTGTTATACAGGTTTAACCTGACAGTTAGATATCTGACAATATTTATACGAGACTGTTTTTCCCACTGTTTGTTATAC